CTTTTTTACCAGTGTTGACCACTTGTTCATCATCATCATCATGGTTGTGGTCAACACTATAGTCAAGGTCTGGATTCTCGTTGTCAAAGGTGCCACCTTCCATTGTATTTCACATTTTTTTGGAAATGTTTATAAATGCTGTGCAAAGACAACCTTCGCCCAACACACAATGAAAAGACATTCGGTGCCATGAAGGCCAATCACACAGTCAAGCACAGAGGCGTACAGGCCAGTTACAGAAATTTTTGAAAATTTTCGGGCAAAGGGCTGATGATTCAGGCAAATGTACTTGGAAGAAAACATTCCAAGAGGTAGTCAAAGCCAGGCTTGTAGGCTACTTTCTCTGACGTTTGCCTTGTCAAGACAGAGTTAAGGTCAAATGATCTAATGATCCAGGAAATCTGTTTTGAAAAAGCCATGTATCATTTAAAATGTGTATCATGAAAATCCGCGAGATGGATATTACTTCCATCGATAAAACAATGACAGAATCAAAGCTAACTAAGACCTAGACTTTTGTTTTTGTGGTTGCTCTGAAAAGAGCCGTTTTGAATGGCTCAACAAAGAGCTGTTTTCAATTTTCTTCTCGTACGAGGAAGAATTTACTGTTTCTTTTATAAGTTTCTGATTTTACTAGGCTGTTGATCAAGGCCATAGAGTATGCATGGTTTCAAAATAATTACAGTGGAATCCCAATTTCTCATTTTTTCGAACCGTTCTGATAATAGTTTTATTAGACGTGAGAATTGTGAACGTTTTTGTTTTTACTGCGATTTGAGTGCATTTGTACAATACATGCTTTCGGGCACTGTGTAATGTAATTTTTTAGGGCGATAAGGTCACCCCCCCCCCCTCCCCCAAGTCCGAAGGAGCCCATACGCCTATGGTCAAGCACATTACCTTTGACCACATTGAAGCCAATCCCAGCGAGATGCTGTATTTTTCAGTACCTAAGCTGAACAAGAACGAGGTCATCGTGCCTGGCTCTCTAGCACTTCGCTTTGACATCAACCTTTCTGGAGGACACGCCAACGACTTTTTTGTTCAGAACGTCACGCGGGCGCTTGTAGACAAGCTGGTTGTGAAGTTTGGGGATACTGTCCTGCAGGACACGGTTGTAATGAAAACAGCTTCGGATTGGCAGCTGAAGCATATTGAAAATTAACTAGACAGTGTTGGTCTGTATTTTGTTGGGTATGTGCTTGTCATAAATTAGCAGGGATTAATGAAGTTTGCATGCTAAATTTAGGTCTGATAAAAAAATCAAAATAACTAACCAAAGCACCGCAAATAACTTTATTTCACCGAACACCGTAGCATGAAAAACACAAACATGATGCACCAAAGGGTTTCAGATCTCCACAACACGGCAAGTTGGGATTTTATTCACCGCAGCCCTGCTTTCAAACAAAAGAACAAGCTTAAATTTTGGCCTGTAGGGAATTATAAAGCTTCCGTCAATCAATCAATCAATCAACTTTATTTAGAGAGGGTGACACAGGACAGTATAAACTGATAAACTAGTGGCCCTCTGTGCTAAAAATCTACGAGCAATTATAAAGTAACTAAGTATAGTACAAAGTATGAACAATAGAAAGTTACAATAAAAAGTTACAAAAAAATGTATGTATATTCNCCCCCCCCCCCTTACGTATGATTGTGTGGAGTTCATTAAGAAAAATATTGGATTTGCCACAGCTAGTTATTTCTGTCCTAGGGCTTTGACAGGATGGCTTTGTCTTTTAGACAAGAAAGTAGTTATATACTTAAGCCCAGCCATTATCAGTCGTTCTTGTTGTCAAATATACTGTAGCAAGAAACCTACTTTACTGTAGCTGAACAAAGCCCAGGTGTATTTAATAAAAGACCTAAAGCTTATAAGAATTGTTCATGACAGGAAATTTAATGTTTGTTAATTTGCAGGTGATATGAGCTCACGCAGAACCTTGCCAGAAGTCAGAGTGAATTCACTGCAGTTTTCACCCACAGGTGCACTAACAGAATTGTTCCTTATGAAGAAATGAAATTATATGATTGATTATATCACAGGTAGCCCAAGCTCGATATATGAGAAGCTCAAGTTTTTGTTCACCTCTGTACTGTCCCGTAGTTTGCGTGATTTGCATATTTACAAGGATTTGTATGGGGAGAGAAATATAGCCGAAAATTGCAAAAATTCACGGTTGAACTTTAATATAAATTGCTTAATTACCTGAACTCCAGTGGTGCTTCTTTCGCATTCTGTGTGGTTTTCTAGCGGATTTGTTGCGTTTCCATCGAGTTATAGTTCCATTGTTTGCTGTCTCATTTTCAGAGAGAGAGCAAACGGTGGAACTATAGCTCGATGGAAACGCAACAAATCCGCTAGAAAACCACACAGAGTGCGAAAGAACCACCACTATAGTTCAAGTAAGCAATTTTTATTAAAATTCAACAGTAATTTTTCGCAATTTTCGGCTCTATTTCTCTCCCCATACAAATCCTTGTAAATATGCAAATCACACAACTACAGGGGTCAACAAAAAATTGAACTTCTCAGATATCTACCTTGGGCTACCTGTGATAATATGAAAGATCAAATATCATCTTTCGTGTATTCATTTGTATTCTTCACCATCTACGGGAATATTACGATCTCATAAAGTGACCAGCCCCCAGTTGGCTTGATAGCACCGGTATCGCAGAGGTCATGGGTTCGAATTCCGCATTTTACAAAATATGATCTTTCATATATTCATTTTTATAATTGTTCTTTGTCTTATCATCTACACTGTTTTGGTGTTATGATATATTGTTTTTACAACTGAGCTACTTGCCATACCAAATTACATGTTTTCAAACATTACAATTTGGGGTCAAACCAGGTTTGTAAAGGGTTTCCAATAGGTTCACAAAAGGTTTCTTAAAGTGTTTCCAAAGGATACCTAGGGGTTTAAGGTGTTTGTAAAGAGTACTAAAGACTTTTTATTCCTTGATACGCCTTGATGAAACCTTAGCGGCATGTACAACAAACAACGGAGACTGTGGTTTAAAGAGGTAAATATATATTATATGAAATCTTTACAGGAATGAAAGTATATTTTTGAAACTGTTTGTCCCTTAGGTCAGTCATGGGCAGCAGCTTGTACTGAAGGGCTAGTCTTATATTCTTTGGAATCTGATATTGTATTTGATCCATTTCAACTGGACTGTGACATAACCCCTGACAAAATCCTGCAAGCTAGCATTAACAAGGAACACACCAAGGCACTGGTAATGAGCCTCAGAATAAATGAACTAGGCTTGGTTTGTCAAGTTATGGAGGAAGTGAAACCTAGGGATAGTAAGTGTCACCTCTCTCTGTTTTATCAGCGTGATGAAAAATACTATTGTATTTACAAACTTAACTTGGCCATCAAAAACTGGCCTGGATTTTCCCCACGAAGGTTACATTTTTTTTGGTGGGTATGCTATTTACATGTAGTCGTTTGTCCCTTAGCTAAAATAAACTTGGGAATTTGGAATTCGAAACAATATTCAGTTAGTAAATAGTCGACCTCTCGCCTTACTGTTTTGTATCCGTCCTTTTTAGTGCAGAGGGCATTATTGGGATGGTTTGTGGGCTAATATCCGCTATGACATTAAGGCAGTAACGTGTAAACTTTAATGTTTGTTTAATTAATTAATATCAATTAATTAAAAAAAAGGTGAGAGAGTCAACAAGAATTCCCGTCTCCGAAGTTCAGACAACCCTCAGATCTCCAATGTAATGTTGTTTATAAAATCCCATGCAAAGACTGTCCTTGGAACTACATAGGAGAAACCGGAAGATGTTTCCAAACCCGAAAAAAGGAACATCAACGAAGTTTGAAGAACTATACAAAGGGCTCAAATGTCGCAAACCATGCGTGGCAAAACAACCCCTCCATTGACTTCGATAATGCTTGTGTTATTGACAAAGGCAGTTACCGCGTTCGAAAAACACCAGAACCCTGGCACACAGCTAAAACGCGGATAATAACTCAAAACCGTTGCCTACCCAATACTCCATTTTACTGTGATTAGACCTTATTTACATTTTTATTTTTTAGCTTTTTTCACACTTCTATTTGTATTCTACTTTTATAAAATTTTTCGCACCCCTTTTCGTATATATTCCGTCCGCGTGCTTACAGTTTTCATTCGTTAAAGGCTATAGACTGGTAGCCGAAAGCCTATGTTTTTAATCTTTTTTAACCAGAGAACGTTTTTTTCACTTTAATATCAATTAGTTGATTAGTCTTCAGGCAAGAAAGTGGTTTGGGAGGGTAGGTGCCTGTGCGCACTACGTAAAAACGCATGTCACCCACCTTACTGTAATTATAATATCACAAAGCTATATATTTGGTTTAGCAAACCTCTTGTCATCCTTTTGGTACTATTCTCTTTAGAACAAAACCAATTTTTCCTAAACTCATGCGCAGCTTATTTAGCGTTCGTGCCAACTATATATTAGGTGAAAGATGCATTTCATTTGGGATCACACGACGCGAAAATGTTGAGTGGTTTTCCTTGTGGTAGAACCCAACATGTAAGACGCAAGCGTTCTAGCATTGTTAGCGTGGTATACTCCGTTTTCATCCCCAGAGCCACGTGTTTTTTATATGTCGTGTGACAGCAGTTATTTTTCGGGTAACGTCACTTCCCCCGCTTTAGTGCAAAAAAACGCTACTGTGACTGAGTATCTTTGAGAATTGCCCCTAGCTCGGTTCAACAAATATCATCTGCTATTATCAAACTTTGCCAGAGTTCAAATAGGTCCTTTGCAGCTGGGGTCACGTGACCAAATTTTTGCGAGAAAATTTTTTGTATTATGGGCTATAGCTTAAAGAATGCCAGAAATGGAAAGAGCGCATCGAAAATACCAAAGTGGCAAAGTTTGAGGCCCCTGGAATTAAAGAGTAAGTTTATACTACAGTTTGAATTTTCGGACAATTTAGAGGATTTGTATGTAAAATGTTGCTGGAGAGCATCTCCAGCAACTTTTTCATACAAATCTTCTTATTCTTTTAAAAATTCGGACCGTCATAAAATCTCCTTTAATGATGGGGGCCTCAAACTTGGCCATTTTGATATTATCGACATGCTTTTTCCATTTCTGGCATTCGTTAAGTTATAGCCCATAATTTTATGAAAAATAGGTCACGTGCTGACTTAGCTGCTAAGGATCTATTAAGAATGGAAACGTTTTGCTTCTCCCTAGCGGCTTATTTATTTCTCTTTCAATTGTCTCTATGAAAGAGACCAGAAAGTTCATATCTAGCGTAACTTTCCCGATTTAGTGGCATTAAAACTTGTCAAATTGTAAATTTGTGCCAAAAGAAACCAGGAAAGTGTTCAAATATTGCAGCAGAATTAACTGAAAGCGTAAATTAATTTAATCAGTCTTTGAGGGGACTTGTTCACCGATGTAGGATATATAAACTCGGTCAACTGAGTAGCGCAGACCTTTAATACTTCTTGTTGAAACGCTAACGCTTCTCAGTTGTATTAATCAATGTCACTGAGGTGGCAACTGTATAAGAACGTGGTATTCCGTGACTATTTGATAATTAAATTACTTCTTGTTTATCCGTAAAAAGAAAATTTGCGTTTTGAATAAAACAGAATCGTTCTCATAAGATATTTCTCATAAGATATTTAACTTTGGTCCATTTCCTCATGAGATATTTACTTTCTTCCATTTGTCTCTTAAGTTTTCGAGAAAACGAGGGTTTTATGTTACATACCTTTGCGAGGAAAACAAAAGTATCAAGTTACAAACGTTGGCGTGAAAAGTAAAATTGTCACATTTGCTACTTCATTTACTACATATTATTGAATCTTGAAATGAACAAAAATCAACGTAAAACACCAACGTAAACTGAATTTCAAAGCTGTCTTGACAAACAGTAATTGTAAGTTATTGTTGAACATCGAATGAAAATAGACATGGAACATACACACTGCTAAGATTGTGACGAGATCATGTCTTATCAAGGTTTGTGTCCGTTCATATTCTGGAAGGGGAAAAGCCCAAGGTACCAAAGTACCTGGAGTGAACACGACATGTCTGACTATCGTGCCAGAGTTATACATTGCACTCTGCACTCTCTGAGATTGTCTCACTAGTTGTCTCTGTCGCTTTCTTTTGGGGTTGTGTTGGCCGTTTAGTCACTTTTGTTCTATATCAATCTATCTCCACAGACAAGTAGCTACAAGTCAATATCAACTTCACTTTCCACATGAGGTCAAATATAAATTCAAAGGAGCAGCAGTGTATTTTAAAGCAAATCGACAATCAAAGTTGTACCGTGTTCTCGCTTTAATTGCTTTGACAGTAACAGATATTAACCACAATATTGCTATTATTAACCTCTATTTATATTTTGATCTATCAGTTGCTTTGGTGATACAGTCTTTGAGGGAACCCTTTACAGAACGACTGTTGCAGTTCATTGTGTTACAGTTGGAGAAGTCACGTCATCTTCATTTTTACCTTTTATGGTGCCATCAATTATTAACTGTCCATGGGCAAAAACTGAAGCTGCTGGTCAGTAAACTGTTGGTTATGTTGCGTAGTTTGCAAAAAAGCGTGACAAGACAACAACAGGACCTCAATAAAGTGTAAGTAGCCTACTCAAAGTAGAATTGACAGCAGAAGATTTTATTGGATGGCAGAACACCGATAAAGTACTTGTTAACTCCGACGAAGTCCTCAGTTTAAAACTGCCCACAAAATTTTGTAATTGCCCTGGAAACATTTTTGGACTCTGGATTTATGCGTCAGAAAAGCAAACAACAAATTGTTTTTTTTCTCTTTTTTTTTACATTGAACACGTGCGCAAATATCACCCTATAATTTCAGTACAAATGACGACCACGTTACCGAACGTGTATTTTCTAACACGTTCTTCTCTTTAATATAGTATAATATAGTGGCTTAAATCGAATAATGAGAGAAGGAAACTCTTGAAACGAAAAAATAAACAACATCGAGCCATCTTAACACTGCAATATTAGCAGTACATGTAAACTGCTTGTAACAGCTCAAATCACCTTGCATACCTTAAGGTCGGCACACACGAGGATGCTGCGACTAGTCCCTGCAACTAGTCCCCTGAAGAGTTTACACGAAGGGACTGGTCGCAAGGACTTGTCCCATGAACAGTTCACACGAAGCGTTTTGAGGAACAAGTCGCAGGGACTTGTCCCAAAAATTCAAACCAGTTTGAATTCGTGGGACTAGTCGCAGGGACTAGTCCCCTCGTGTGTGCCGACCTTTAAACTAAACAGACTTCAAATAAGCCTATGCTTTTAAAGTAATAAAGGTATACAAGCCGACCATGTGGTGTCACTGACCTTTTATGAATGTCATAGGTCAAACATGAAAAGTTTCAAGCTACTAAGTCAAAGTGCTTACCACGTAACGTTTTATTTTATAACTGTATGATATATCTCTACAAATTGCATTCCTTTTTGAAATCGGTAATTTCTGTGATTGGATTTAGCTGTTGGAGTGGTCTCTCTTTGGATAGCAGCAGCGTTTAATTTTTGTCTTCTCTTCCACACAGCTGTTCAAGTAACACCTATGCCCTCACCTACATCCTAGCCTGTGCTGATATACTTAAAGGCGACAGTAAGGGCAGTTCTGCCATAGAAACATCATCGATGCTTGTGGCTTCTGACAATGACCTGGACAATCTATGAAGGCTTCACAAATCCCTCCTTGAAATCACGTGTGAACGAACAATACGAGATCACTTCCGACCTTCTGGAGATTTCACATTAAATAAAAATTTTAACTCGTGCTCGTGGTTATTGTTCGTTTTCAGGTGAAATTAGTGTGGGAAACAAACTTTATATATAGCGATATGACGTTTCAATGTTTCCAACAAGTAGAGGGTGTGACAGTACCTTGCTGACAGAGGAATGTACATTAGTGGGGAAATATTTCTTGGAGTGTAAATTTCTAAAAATAACTAACCCAGAGGTTGTCTATTGTTACTACTAATGAATTCAGTGCGGATGTGTTCAGCATAACCATTACCACCGATTTCATTGATACGCGACCTTGAATCAAAATTCCCGCGAGCATGGCGATTGGCTTCCATCAATCATGCGCTCCTTATATGGTGTTATAGGAATGCTGCTCTTCTTTCCAAAAATATGGCGGCCAGTGTGTAGCCTGTTCGTCCATGGTTGCTTCTTCTTCAAGTTTACGTTGGCGAGTGGTGTATTTACTCGTGTAGGGGTTGAGCGTGAGCGCTTTAGCAAGACTTCTGCATGTGGGGTTGATATTTCTTAAGAAAAATTCGGAAAATTTACAGAAATACCTCCACGGTTGATTACCCAGCCCGGACGGGAAAAGTGGTGGTGGCTTAAAACAGTAATATTTGCGTGAGACGCCTGGGTCAGGTTGTTCAAATCATGATTAAGCTAATCCAGGATTGGCGTAAATTTTTAATTCAATTTTGTAACTTTTCAGTGAAGTTTTCTTGTAAATTTTTTGTCCTTCAATTTTGGCTTTGACCAACGTCAAACTCCAAGAAACATTGAAAGTGAAAACACTTTTATTCAAGAGAAATTAGAACTTTGATTAACTTTTAATCCTGGAATTCATGGCGTCATCAGGTTCATTAAGTTCGTCCAGTAGCGTTTTGAGACCTCTTCCATAAATCAAGTGGGATGGCGTCAAGACTTCCTCTTCAGCCTTGTTGTATTCGTACGTCAGTGGTCTCGAGTTGAGTGTACATTCTATTTCCGTTAGGAGAGTCTACAATTCATCGAATGTCAGCCGTGCGTTCCCCAGTGTCTTTCTTAAACATCCCTTTACACTGGCTACCATTCGTTCGAAAAATCCTCCCCACCAGGGTGCCCTTTCTAAATTGAATTTCCATTCTACTCTGTCACGCTCTAAGTCGGCTCTTATTTCGGGATGATCCAACAACTTCCTTAACGCATTCTCCGTGGCCTGAAATGTTTTGTCATTGTCCGAAACGATCAGGACTGGCATTCCTCTTCTAGCGGCAAACTTTCGATGACAACGCCTGAAAGCTGCCGACAAATCTTCTACCAATTCTAAATGCACCACCCGTATCACGCAGCATGAAAACATTGCAACATAGGCCTTGCTCATTTGTCCTGATTTTTCCTTGACATAAAGTGGGCCAGCATAATCTATCCCAACCCTCGAAAATAGTGCTTCTTTAACTCGAAAGCCTGGAAGCACAGCAGTTGGTGGAGCGCTAAAGGGTTTCCCGATCACCTTTCTACAGGTAACGCACTCACCCAAAATTCGTTTTACTAGCTGCCGGCCCTTGGGAACCCAAAACCTGGATCTCAACTCAGCCAAAGTAGATCTAACTCCTCTATGGTGCACTCTGATGGCACTCTTCCACAACTAATCTTGTGAATCTATGCTGCCTGGGTAAAATAACCGGTTTCCTGGCTTCACTAGTACTCACTATCTAAATCTGAATTTAACAGCCTACCTTCGCATCTCAGAATTTCCTGGTGTCCCTTAATGCCGAGCTCGCCAACAAGTGTGCTTAAAGTTAGCCTGCTTCTTAAGGTCTACTTGCACCGATTTCAGCCATTCGCTCTCGGCACCTTTCAGTTCGTGTACTTCCAGTCTGCCCGTTCTTCTTTCTTTCGCAGGTGTGTTGTGAAGGAATCGTTTTACCCAGGCTGTCACTCTGACGAGTCTTTGTAATGAGCTATAATCTTTAATGTCAATCACTGCGCTGATACCGGTCACGACTTCCGTTCCTGTCAACGTTAAGGTCACGGTTTTCTTTTCAATCAAGCTCTCGGGGGTTCTAAAGCTCTCGGTTGTCACTGGCCAATCTTCTGGTTGTTTTGTTAGCCATGCTGGGCCGTACCACCAAAGTTGGTTTGCCTTCAACTGTGAGGCCAACACTCCTCTAGAGCCAAGGTCAGCTGTACTTTCTTCCGTGGAACTGTACGCCCAATCTTCTTTGTTGCTGAGCTTTAAAATCTCGTTTACTCTGTGGCGGACGAACTTTTTCCACTTGCCTTTGCTATAGCAATTTTTTTAGAGGTCAAAGGCAGTGTCCGGACTTTCCCCTGTCCCCGCCCCGATCGCTTTGCTCTCCGAATTCTTCTGTTTCGCGCTCGCCGAAATTTTTTTTTTTCGTCCTCGCCGGGAAGCCTGTTCGCAGGCTATCTTTGTTTTGAACCAGCTGAGAGCCGTCTTGCTATCCAGCCAGAACTTCACGCTATTCAACATTCTTCACCCTGTGCATAAGTTGCCCAAGAATCCTTGCCGACATTAAATTCCAACCTAGGAACCGAAAGCTCCTTCAAGGGAGCAACCCTAGTTTTGCTTGCTAGTAATCTTACATGCGTTTCGCCATCAGTAGTACGATACGCGAAGTAAATAAGAGCACAATAAGCCTTTTTGCTGGCGTATCTAAACCCATGTAAATAACACTCTGTCCAACCCCACCGAGTCGTAAAGACATCTATTTACCCGGATTTCGTTCGTTACTGATAAATCTTGGACCCACTTGTCCCATCTCGATTTTGTTTCTCCCTTCAAATTCTCATCCCAATCGAGTTTTTCGTTACAAATTTCCTGAAAAAGTATTTTCATGCTCACTGTCACAAGACTCACAATCCCCAAGGGATCAAACAGGTTAGCCAGCAAACTTAAAACGTTTTGTTTTGTTGCTTCTTAACTCTTGGCTTTGTCACCCAATACCGCAAAATTAAAATGTAGGGTATCTTTACTACTGTCCCATGCTTGCACTAATACTTTTCCTCCCTTCGTTTCTCCCTGAGGTTCTAGTTTTGATTTTGCATAGGTCTCTTCGTCTTCAAGTCGTTTCACCTCCCGGGTAGTTTTCCCCGATTCATTGGAACGAGTTTTCTCCCTCAGGCCAGGGTCGTTTGTCTTCCACTTTCTCAAATTAACCCCTCCCATTGCTAATCTCTCTCCGGCGTTCTGGTACAAGGTAAGTGCCTTGTCAGTTGTGCGTTCCCCCGAGACCAAATCGTCTATATAACTAGACGCTTTGCTGCGTGTACCCAGGCAGTCGTTATACTGAGAAGCACTAGCTGTATTTCAATTGAGCTAAATGTTCTCCATTTGAAGTCGTACGAAATTCAATCGAATCGATGTGCTCAAGCTATTCTGCTTTTGATTGCATTTCCTGGAATCGAGTATTAGCTTATTACTCGTTTCCAGGTCTTTAAGGCAAGAAATGAGTCAAGGTCTTTATATCAGCCTATAAACGT